CACTAGAATCAGATATTATAAAACATTAGTGTACCAAAGTAGTTATAAATGGACAACTATATGTTCATTAAGTTAGTTATAAATGAACAACTATATGTTCATTAAGTTAGTTATAAATGGACAACTATATGTTCATTAAGTTAATTATAAATGAACAACTATATGTTCATTAACTTAGTTACAAATGAGCAACTATATGTTCATTAACTTAGTTACAAATGGACAACTATATGTTCATTAAATTATTTGTGATTTATATTTAACAATTAAATATCACCTTAACATTTAACAGTTATAAGTAAAACAACATCGTCGTAAATTCTCACTTTTTACAGAAAGATCTGATTCTAGTAATGAACAGATAGTTGTCCATTTATAACTACTTTAATGAACAGATAGTTGTTCATTTATAATTAACTTAATGAACATATAGTTGTCCATTTATAACTACTTTAATGAACATATATTTGTCCATTTATAACTAACTTAATGAACAGATAGTTGTCCATTTATAACTAAGTTAATGAACATATAGTTGTCCATTTAAAACGAACTTAATGAACATATAGTTGTCCATTTATAACTAAGTTCATGAACAGATAGTTGTCCATTTATAATTAACTTAATGAACATATAGTTGTCCAATTATAATTAACTTAATGAACATATAGTTGTCCATTTGTAACTAAGTTAATGAACATATAGTTGTCCATTTGTAACTAAGTTCATGAACATATAGATGTCCATTTATAACTAATTTAATGAACAGATAGTTGTTCATTTATAATTAACTTAATGAACATATAGTTGTCCATTTAAAACGAACTTAATGAACATATAGTTGTCCATTTATAACTAACTTAATGAACAGATAGTTGTCCATTTATAACTAAGTTAATGAACATATAGTTGTCCATTTAAAACGAACTTAATGAACATATAGTTGTCCATTTATAACTAACTTAATGAACAGATAGTTGTCCATTTATAACTAAGTTAATGAACATATAAATGTCCATTTGTAACTAAGTTCATGAACATATAGATGTCCATTTATAACTAAGTTAATGAACATATAGTTGTCCATTTATAATTAAGTTAATGAACAGATAATTATCCATTTGTAACTGTGTTAACGAACATATAGTTGTCCATTTACAACTAACTTAATGAACAGATAGTTGTTCATTTATAACGAACTTAATGAACAGATAGTTGTCCATTTGTAACTAATTTAATGAACATTTAAATAACATTTAAGTCCTACTGCTCGTCACTTAATCATAGGGTTTCTTTCTGAACCGTAATAACATTTAAATCCTCCTGCTCGTCACTTAATCATAGGGATTCTTTCTGAACGGTAATAACATTTAAATCCTCCTGCTCGTCATTTAATCATAGGGTTTCTTTCTGAACGGT